AGATGCACTGTTTTGACACTTCGAGCCAGCCTTCTGTAACGACCCCTGACCTTTGAACGGCTTCCGTCACGCTAGTTCATTCATCGCGTCTGTTGGCTGACCATGTGATTGTAATGCGGGCGTGGAATTTGAAGGGCCACTTCACAGCGACGCGACGGCTGTTAAGAAACAAGCAGAAGACGCCGTGCGCCCCAGAACCGTAAGAGAACTCTTCCTGCTACCTAGGCAGCCCGTCTGGCACGGTGCAACACGGTCGAAGTCTCTCGTATCTTGACAATGAAAAATAATAACCCATCCGTCTCCGAGAATGCTTCATTCTGTTTAAAATATAAAGATTAAAATTAAAATTATGTGTCTGTGCAGAACTTCGTCTTGTACTCCAAGAGACTTTCATAGGTTCAAGGTTCACCGTGGGATGCCAAGGCGAATATTTAAAGGAATTTACATGAAGCTGGAGAAAATTACATAATGAGGAACATTATAAATCATACTCGTCACAAAATATTATTGTACAGCCTGTTTTATGTGTGACTACGGACTGGGCGACCGAGGTTAGATCCCCGACGGGGGCAGAGGATTTTTCCTCTACCCTCTGCATCCAGACCGATTCTGGGGCCCACCCAATCCCTGTCCAATGGGTAACGGGGTCCTTTCCCGGGGGTAAAGCGCGCCCGGGGCGTGACGCTGACCACTCACCCCATCTAGTGATGAGATTAAGAATGAGTAGGAGCTACACTAGCTCTCCCCTTAAGCCCCTCTATGGTGTGTAGCGGGACAGCTAAGGAATATCAAATTAATTGTCAGTTGATGCGAAGGTACGCTTGCTAGAGACTACAAATGCGCACAAAGTTTTAGTCCGGAGAAACCTAAAGAGAAGAGGATGAGAGGATAATATTAAAACATCTTAAAAATGTCACGAGTATGCAGACTAGATCCATTTGCCTCAGCTGCCCTCTGGAATGTTTTCGACGCGACCGGTTGCCCTGATGAGCTGATGATGGAGGCAGTAAGGCCCTCTGGAACATCTGTCACTTTCTTCCAGATTACAGATGCAGCATCCCAGCAGACAGCCATCTTAATATATTAGTCGCCCTGAGAACGTGATGTCTGAACTTTGTCTTTAGTTTTTCTTAGACAGGAGTGCAACTTTTGTTCTCGGTAACAAGGGCTTATGTCAGATGTAATTTGTGTTAACTTCCTAACGAGCAGCAAATCATTATGCCGGCCTAGGATTGGGGGGGGGGTTGCGTTTGTCTTGCTGATTGGCCAATCGAACGTGATGGGCCTACATGCGTCTGAGGTGGTTCAAGAGTTTTCTGCCCAGGTCGCCGTAAAGGGTACGAGGCAAGGCATTTCTTCCTCCATCTTTTTTCAGTGCCCGGTCCCTCCCTGCCTCACAGTGATTCCATTGTTGTGTTTTGAGGTTTGTTCCCTGCTTCTTTATTCTTTTCTGATAATGGCACTGAAATTAGTGGAGAAGCGACTGGGATGGGAAGTCCGATTTGACGTCAATCCTCATCGTAATCCCCACTGTTTCTTTAACATTGCTTGCCGGGACATTCTGGGTTAAAATGTTTTATGCGCATTTAATGACGGTTCATTGTTGTCGTGTTTTTCGTTGTTAAATTGATGCTCTAGTTCTGGAGACGGAGTAGCACGTTTTACTACAATCTTACTCTGATATTTGTTATTTCTATGCGCAGTGCTTGTCAGAATAGTCACTTTTAATGAATTTTGTAGAACTATTTGATTTGTCTGTCATTGTTGTCATCTCGTTCCAAAATGGCGTGATGTTAGACGAATGAAAATGGCTATCTGCTGGGATGCTGCATCTGTAATCTGGAAGAGGAGCCTACTCCCTCCATCATCAGGGTGATGCCGATCAAGACTCTGCCCCCCCTCCCACATCGCAGTCTGGTTTTGGTCTGCGCGGACGTGACAGGGTGGGCAATTTTTTGCCAGCTATGCAACCACCAGGTGGAAATCTCCATAATTACCTCACCACCAAACTGGATCGAATCAGGGACATTTTTTAATATTAGATTAGTAAGTTTACAGTTTTGAGCTTGCGCTGTCCGCATGTCGCGTCTTTCAACAGCAAAGAGACCATGTTGGAGGGAGCAGTCGTGACCAATTATAAAGCGATATTTTATCGGTTGCTTGGATAGACTGAGGAAAACAACGAAAACGTTCTGTCA